TATATACTATATATATAGTATTATTATATATATATATATATATATACACACACACACACACACACACACATATATATATATATAGGCGTTCGTCCGTGAATGGCATAGCAGATAACTTACAACTACATAGCGCATACGGAGATACGAGTGGGATACAATCAATCACACAGCGACCTACATTGCACCTATGCACACACACACACACAGGAAGAAATCATGCACTACTTCCTCTCTCTCACACACAGGTGTGTATGTACATGCACGCCTGTGTCCTGTATTCCCTACTACCATGGGTACCGCTGGATCACACACACACAACCACACACATGTGTCTATGTGCATACACGCATGTATCCTGTATACCCTACACTACACTACCCCACACCGTCCAACGACATACAAAGTGGAGCCAGGCCATGACAGAGAAGAAGTGTACGGAAGGTCCGTGCATGATCAACTGTACATCATTAATGACATCTCCGCCGTAGGAATTGCTTGACCAGTACGAGCTTTCCCCAGTGCCTATGTCATGGACCAGAAGACTGGGCTGTGTGGGTGAGAACCCGTCGCGGTATCCAATCTGGAATATTAGCGGGTCGAAGTTCATCACCGCCATGCAGATGTCCTGGGATGAGAGGTGAAAAGTGGACTATTAGCAAGTGGGTTAGGAGTGGTTTCGCGGGGTTGGCAGGCTATGGGGCCGGGACAGGCGAAATCAGCTGCGGTAATCTATCTGGAATATGATCGGACCGAAGTTCACTAACGCCATACAGAACGTTCCGAGGAGCTGTGGACTATAATCGAACTACACTACTACACATGATAGTCTCGATAGGCCCTGTGTGGACGGGTGATGGATTGAACAGATGAATAAGGACTATAAGCGAACCTACTAATTGCACACAGCGATTACACATGATAGTCTCAGTCCTCGTGTGGGACACGTGATCAGTTGAAGGGATGGATATGGACTATAAGAGAAGAATATTAAGTAGTCGTACCCAGCCATTGTACTACTACACATGGCCAATACATGCGTGTGTAGCAACCGCTGCTTTCCGCGAGGGACTTACATCCAACATTGTTGACACATTCAATAGCTTGATGCGGCACTCTTCCCCCACACCCGGACAGAACGTGTTGACCGAACTTTCCAAGTCGAAGAGTTGCAGCGATTCTATTTATAGCAAGTTAAGATTGCGAGATATGATTGGTTGGCGCAATGCAGTAGCCAATGAAACAGAGGGACTCTGTCTTGATGGATACGGAGGACAACAAGTAGACTATCACGAGTGATTGCCTATACATTAAAACTACAGCAGAAAATACTTAGTTGCTATACAATACTCACGGATGTACAAGATTCGAGTATATTAAACGCTTTTGTGTGCGTATAGTTCTGTACATAGCACAGAAACGTACTTGTGAGTCGGACTTCTGTGAACCAAAGTGTAGGCCCGGTTAGTGTTGCGAGCAAACATATACATAGACATTTGCCTATAAACATGCACATTCTATTTTCACGTGAATTTTATAACTAATTATCAGAAGTTATTAGATATTCCATATCAAACTACGTGAGTGCATGTATATATATAACATACATACCTACCTACATACATACATACATACATACGTGCATACACACACACACGCACACACAGACGTATATATATGTATATATATATATATATATATACATACATACATACATATATATTTTTATATTATATATAC